GATTTTTCTGATGAACCATGAAAAAGTTATGCCTTGGTCAAGTTACAGTTAACTTTTCTGCTGTCCAAAAATAGAAACTTTTGCATCTTTGATGATTTTTGAGCCATTCTTGTGGAATCATGGTCAAGACTTGATCAAATGATGATTGTGAGCTCAAAATAAGATGTTGACCAAAAATTCTGACTTTTGACTGTCAAATGACCATTTTACCCCTGCAGTTGATTGTGAAGCAAATGAAGCTTTTGACTGTGCAAACTGGCATTGTAAGTCTTGAAACTTGATATGTAGATGCTTGACAATGTATATGGACACATGAGACTTGATTGGACCACTGAAAACCCCAAATTCCTTGAGAGAACCAAAACCCTAATTTTGACTGGCTTAGGAGGCATTTGGACTGTGCAATCCCTGAGTAATCTTGAACCATTTGAAGATGATTCTTGATAAACTTTGAAGAATATGGGAGGGCAAATTTTGGGGTACAACAGAATGCTCGAAAGATGTACGTATAATAACACCAGCATTTACAATTCAATGAAAACTCTTTACATTTTCTAATTTTATCTTTCACTTCCGTTTCATTTGTGTTTCAAGCAATTTTATGTTTATGCCTTTACATTAAAGCATTTGTACTCGAAGTCATTTATTCCTTTCTGCATTTAAATACTTTTCTTATGGTCGAAACCTCCAAACATTTAGTAACTTTTACATCCACCCATTTAATTCTGCCATTTATCCAATCTCAAGTCTTTAAACTTTTCTCATGATTATTCCTAATACCATATAGAAGTTATCCTTCGAACCATTCAATATAGTAATCGAAGCGGATTGGATATCTTTGGAAGAACTCTAATTCGAAATCCTAAATACAAATGTCAGTTTTACAATTAGACTTAGCCAAACAACTATGTTCTATAGGATCAATCTAGTCGATCATGTAAGTTACCAGAGAGATTGAATAACAGTAATTAAGTTTATTTGATAGTTTGGAAGACTAGCGGTTGTTCACCAGAAATCACTGTGAACAACCCGAAGTACTAAAATGTTCCAAAAATAACTAGTCATTTGAAAATCCTCTTTTTTGGATGAACAAAGCTGAACACATATGGGTCAATAAAAGAAAATTTATCAGCAGGAGGAGGAATCGGGTGAGACCAAATTAGAGGTAATATGGGTAGTTTTTCTAGCAGTATGAGAACTGAATAAGATCAGAATCTTGTCAATTCTAATCTCGATGGAGAAGGCACATGGAAGAGGATGAAAGAAAATTTTGGTGGATAATGACACGATAGGTGCGGCTTTGGCATGTCAAAGTGAAGATAACATTCATTGGGAGCTCAGGAACAATTGGATACATAACAAGAAATTAAAATTAAATGTGAAATTTTTCCTACATATTCAAAAAGGGAGAGATTTTTCGAGACAAGTTTGTCAATCAAAAACTCACTTATTGGATTTAACTTGGTGTAATTCTTTACTTTTTTTTTAGAGAGATTTTTTTTAGAGACTCATTCGTCATGCATAACTATATATTCAAATAAGTCTTTTATTCAATTTCATTTTATTTTGACCCCTCCCCCCTTCAATTTTGTATTTAATCATAGTTTAAATTATATATCATGAATTGATTTATCAAATAGTCCATTAGTAAAGTTTTAGATTTTTTACTAGTTATTTTAGTTTAAGAATTTAATTTATTAATTAATTATTTATTAATGCCCTAAAAATTGTAAAAAGAAACATTTACTGATGAAATTATAATTACTTATATAAAAATTTATTTTTTGGTGATATAAAAATTAATATGGTATGCCTTAACGGTTAATCTATTATATTACACTTCATTTATTTTTAAGAGATTACATGGTAGTTTTACACTATCAATTAATAGGAATTCATAAATCAGCCATGTCACACAACTAACTTAAATATATCAAAGTGACTTCGAAGAATACATGATGGTGATTGATTGACAGTGTAAAATTATTTGACATTGTCGATGTATGTCATTTTTTTCTCTATTTTTAATATTATACTTTTAAATATAACTTTAATAATAAAGATTGTTTATCATTACCATATTTTTAATTTTCAGCTTACTATAACAACATATATATTATATTCGAACAATTTATTTTAGCCCTCCAAAACCCTTTAAACCTCGCCTCCAATACAATTTTTTAGTTCCCCGAATTCGGAGTACAATACCCAGTATAATTATCGCCTGATGATTGTCGCTGATTAAGTATTAGTGAAATCATTAGAAGATAAATATTGATAATCACATCATTTGGTTTATTTGGGTAAAATGAACTAAATGAGTAGAAAGGGGTATTATGGTTAGTTCATCCCTTAAATAGAATCCTAAAGACTTGTTTGGTTCCTCACACGCATTCTCAATTCACTCAATTCAGATTTTTAAGAGAAATAAGGAGAACACGTAAAAGTGAGAGAAGTGGAAGGGATAACAAGTTCAAGTTGTCATCGTCTCACTTTGCATTCATCAAGAGTTCACCATAATTTGAGACTCCTTTTTCATCTCCTTCTGTTTTAGCATCTCTATCAACACCAAGGTGAGTCTCATAGTTAGAGACTTTGGGATTTTAGGGTTTTCCATGAATTGGGGATAAGGGTCTGAGAATATGTAATCAAATATTCTCTAATGCATGAATCTTTTCCCTAATGAGTTAATAGACATGCATGCTATATTAGAAATGTTCAATAACATGTGCATTGTTGGTTGCATGTGGAAATTCTGGCATTTTGGAAGGAAATTCGTACTCTTTTATTTTTCTATTTTTCTGTGTTCAGGTACTTTCCGTTAGAAATTGTTTTTGCTTAGCGAACCTCTCAGTCCATAAATTGTGAGATTTATGTTTTTAGTTCGAAGGACTTGCTTCACCTCGCATAGCGAAGTCAGCTTCGCTACCAGTTCGCTTAGCAAACATGCTTGCACTGGGAGAAATCTCAACTCTGTAAGGCTTTGTTGGACCTCGCTGAAGCTTATTAGGCGAACTTCCTTGAGCCAAATTTTAAAATTTCTTCCCCTCGAGTGCAGTTCCATTCTGTAATGTGAATCGGTCGCCTCCCTTGTCCTTTGTGATAAATGTGGTGTATTATGGGTTTCTAATGGCTTAATGTGATCACTTAATATGCTTCTTTTCATTTGTGTGTTTAGCATAATGCATTATGTGTATAAATGTTATGGTGTGATCACTTGATTTGATTATTTCTCGTTCGTTCTGGTTTAACGTTCAGATGTGGTTGTGATGTATGCTTGAATCGAAGTATGCCTAAGCTACTATTTGGTAAATCATGTGATTATGATGGACTTAGTTCCAATAGACTGATGTTGTAATGTGCTTGTGAGGGTACTAAATGGTGTTTCCCACTTGTTGTTCTCATCGACGTTATCAGTATGTTGTACACACTTGAGCTATCATTGTGATGTGCTTGTGGGGGTCTTATAGGGCGTTTACCCACTCGTTGTTCACATTGGTGTGCTTGGTAATGTGAATGGTTGTGCTGCCGCATATGCATGTTGTACCCCAAAATTTACCCTCTTCATTTCGACTTTATTTTGGCTTATATTGCATTATCATATACATATGTGCATCTCAATAGACGTACTGTTATGGGATCGAGGCATTTCTGTTCGACTGTTACCAGAGGTGCTCAGAGCTTTATGAAAGACATTCAGGTAGTGAATGAAGATTATTTATCATGACTAATCTCAATGTATTCTATCATGTCTCGAGTGGTAGATGTGAGTCGGAGTTTTCGTCTGATTTGAGACAGTTCGGGTTGAAAGTTCGTCCCGACGCAGCAAGCTTCAGAATTTTCTAACTCTGAGCCAGAGTGTTATTTTGAACTGATATTTTATCACTGGGTCCATGCGGATAGTATCTTCATGTTTCGTGTTCAAGCCGGTAGCCAATTGTGCATTTAAAATAGTCAAATAATTTTGTTATTGGGTTTTCGAGTTACCGATCAACGGTATTTTTGGTATTCAGAAATTTATAACTCTGATTTGGTTTACCGTTTTGAGGTGGTTCTTTCGCCATTAAATCCGCCTCGATATTCTCCATAGATTTCATGTTCGGGCTGAAGGCTAATTCTAGAGGAATGGTCTCTGAATGTGCAAAATACTGGTAAAGTTGGCTAAACCGCTATTTCAGGCACAATAAAAACTTCATAACTCTCAGTGGGAGTACCATATGAGCGTGATTCCGGTACCCAAAATTCCGTTTCGATGTCATTTTAACGCTGTCTGTTATGACCAAGAGCTGATTCTACATGAAAAATGGTGCGAATTTCTAGTTCCTGGAGAAATAATTGAGCAGAATCTGGAATCTGTCAGTTTGATTTTCAATATTCAAAAATTCATAACTCGCTTGATTTTTATCGTATCGCACCGGTTTTTGAAGCATTGGCTCAATAATTTCATCTACTTCAACTTTGATTCAGATCTTAAAATAAATGATAGCCCGAGGATCTCCGCTATTTGTTTATTCTGCAAAAGTAGAGTTTTCGGACCGGTAAAAAGACTGGACGTCGCTCCACTGGAAAATTCATAATAAATTCCTTGTTTATCATATGGTTCTCATTTTTTGACATGATGTCAGGGATGCGGAGATTTATTTTTCTTCTGGCAAAGTTGAGACGAGATTCTAATTTTTCGGGCAGAAACTCGTGGTTTGTTTGAGTGACGAAGGTCAAATAAGCTGATATTTTGACTTAATTAATTTTTGACAGTGACGTCTCGCCGCTTAAGAGTATCGAACTCACTCAATTTTTATCCGAAAGTGTCTGTTCTTTTTAGGTGACGTCTGTGACTCAAAGGCGCTTCTTTCACAAGAGGTCCTCATTCAAAAAGATTCGCAGATCATAGTGTAATTTTAACTTAAGCGAAAAATAAAATGAAAATTTGAATTTCTTAACAATACTATATATTATTTTTACCACCAAATTTCAAAGGAGGAGGCTCATTTTATATTTACATGAAATCATTTTCCCTCTCTATTAAAGACTCCAACAATCTTGCACCTCCCTCCTCCTCTTTCCCTCGTCAGACCACCACCACCAACTCCTCCCTCTCTCGTCGATCCCTCTGGCGACCTCTCCCTTTACACGCTCCTCTTCACCGTCCATCTCTTCTCGGCGCGACCTCCCTCCGGCGACAACTTTCGTTCGGGTTCCTCCTTTCATCTGGCGTAACCTCCCTCCATCCGTGCTTCTTCTTTGTGGCTCTTCCTCCAGCTCTCCTCTGTGTCGCGCCTCCGCCGCCGCGCCCTTCCTCTTCTCCGGTGACGTTCTCCGTTCCAGACAACATCACCTCTCATTTTCATCTTCTTCCTATTTTCAAGAATTGCTACAAGAGGTAACACTACTGACCTCAATTAATGCTTGTTCTTGAACTTATTATTGTAGAATTGTACAATTAGGTGTTAATTGACATAATTAGGATTAGATAACATAGTGTACATAATTCTAGAATTAGATTAAAGATTTAGGTTGAAATTGATTTAGGATTTTATTAGGTTCTTGAATCTAGTTTGTGAAATAGAAACTTAGTATAATTTATGCACAATAGGTGTTTGCCTTAATTCCTCATAGAAGTCTAAAATTTATTTAGGATTAGGATAACACTTAGATTTTAGTGTAGTTCTTTTTTTTGAGATAGGTTGTTAATTAAGTTTAGAATTGGATTGTATTCTTGATTTAGGGAGAATCCGGTGTAAGATTTAGTTAAACTAACGTTTAGTTTAGGTACTAATTTCCTTTGATTTAGGTGTTGTAACATGGACTAACATTTAGTTTAGTTTAGGCATAATCTTTGATTTTAGGCTTTACTATATGTTTCCAATTATTTAGTGGATGATCATTAACATTTTTGTGCATTTGAAATGTATTTTTGCATATGATTTCGAGTTACTAATTCTTGACATAAACTAATCTTTTTGCCAATTTTTGGTTGATTACTTGTTGCTTGCCATTTCAATGAATTGAGGTAATTTCTAATGGACTCAAATGCCATTGCAAAACATTTTTGAAGTAACTTTTGATCCGTATTGAGTTTTTCCGATTTGGCTTAATGAAAATCGAGTTTCTTGAGTCATCCGGAATCACTTACGCGAGTACTTTTTCGATTCAGACAAATTTCGTTCCGTTTTTCTGCTACTGTAGCAGTTTCGAAAATCATGTTTCATAACGGAATTTGGCCGAACCGAGTTAATTTTTGAAACCGTTGACACGTTTCTATGTCGCCTTAATTTTTGTGGTTGATTCCGGATGCTTTTCGGTTAATGTTCAAATTTTCCGATTAAAGTTTTTGCACATTATCTCGTGTTTTATTTTTGAATCGTGATACTTTTTGTATGCTAACTTTTATTTTGATGTTAAGTAATATAATTTGGTTTTATTAATTACTTGAGAAACTTTGTGAATGTAGCGTATCGGAATACTTTTTTGATTCATAACCTTTGAATTTCACAAATTGTGAGTTGGTTCCTACTTATCACACTTTTGATATAAAAATATAAACTCATGAATTTGAATTAATTTGCCCGTTGTTGATCAAACACTACAAGAAAATCTGCAAGTTGCAACAGTTTTTTCAGTAGATTACGGCGGTTCTAACCGTCGTAAAATATAGGTTACGACGATTCCACAACTGTCGCAGAAACGTGTGTAGCAGGCCCTTTTGGCGACGGTTTAGAAAACTGTCGTTCCAACCGTCGTAGATAAGCATGACGGTTCTAAACCGCCTTTAAAGTAAGCTAGCAACATTTTTTCACCGTCGTGAATTTTATTTGATGTTTCATTTACACTATTGATAGCGGCGGTTAAAAATCGAGTTTGGAGGTTTATAACCCCCGCTAAATTAATTTTTTTTTTTTTTAAATTAAACATCTAATGTTGCATTGCTATGAATAGATCAGAATATATATATATTATCAATACAAAGCAACATAGATAGATATTAAATAAATTACACTATATAACCACATCACAAAACAACTCATACTCAAACAAATTTCTTTCCTATATTCATACAATTTAATTTACAATATATAACCACATCGTAAAACAACTCAAATTGAATCAAGCACTCAACATATGCAGAACTTTGATCATACAGGAACCTAATAGCAATGTCACAAAAACTAATGGAATGGAATTACAATGAGCTTCTAATATAGCAGACTCTAAAACTTATTCATATCCATAAATTGTTGCATACTTCTCATAGTCATTTAAGGGACCTAGAGGAAGAAATCCCTCAAATCCGTCACAGCCAAGTCATACTTTTGATGCAAAGAATGGGAGTTTAGTCACCTATAACAAAAGACTTTGTTAGTCCTTTTGAAAAATACTTATTCGAGCTTCGACTTTGAGTAGAAAACCCAACAACACACAATACTACATTCAATTAAAATTGTGATAGGGAAGAGCATCTCAGATTATCTTAATTTAAAGCAGATTTTTAATTCCTACCTGTGAATCAACATATGCACATGAATGATTCCGACCTCTCCTTTCAATGTCGAAAGACATGCATCTGCAAATTTAACAGTAGTTTATGCCTACAATTTACAATAAAGATGGTTCATATAACTTGTAATCAAGACCAGATCCATATTTTCCAAACCTGATATACTATACTCACATGGAAAAAAATCAGGCAGATCATAGTCATATATCTAATTATCAGTATAATAGAAACTGTGCTGGTCAGAGAATATGTTATAGTTTTGTTTTCAGAAGATGCTGCTAGTTTTCATGTTCTTTGATCTAAACATCTAATGTTGCATTGCTATGAATAGATCAGAATAAATTAAACATCTAATGTTGCATTGCTATGAAACTAGCAGCATCTTCTGAAAACAAAACTATAATTGTCAACATGAAAAAAAAAACATTCACAAAAAAAGTATATCTAAAACATATAATGGGTGTACATAGGGTTTCTTGACAAACATGAATGTAGAAGGCCTTATACCAAGCAAGTAAGAAGTACTTAAATATTGAATAATGAGAATCGTCACCTTAAATGATGAGAAGAGTAGTATTGCCGCCAATAGAAGGTTGACTGCCTGAAACCTCTAAACATCGGAGTATTAATGAAAACATGACTATCAATAAAAAGTATAGATATTTTATTGAAAAAGAAAAAGAAAATATGAAAAACATTATGAGAAATGTATCCATCTTGAAAACACGCCTGAATGGTGGATGTTCCAAGAAGTATTATTGTCAAGCAAAAAACAACCACACCAGCAATACCATAGGAAAGTACACCATTTTGTAACTTCAATAAGAAGTGGAAGCAAACTATTCAATTATTTGCATTCGATCTAGTCCAATATGAAGTACCAATAATAACTTATTATGCATTATTTGATACAGTGTTGGAACTTTGAAGTATTTGAATATTAGAACAAAAACAAAGAGATTATCCACTGAGAGACTTTGCTCCAATATGCATCTATAAAAGTGAAGAAGATATGAGCATCCAAGTTAGTTAAAGTTAGTAAACAAATTAATTATGGCTTGAGTTTTGTTTTCAGTCTTGCATCCACTAAAATTAAAAACATATTTAATTAATTAATTAATTAATTAGTGATAAGAAAACGCTAAGAATTGAAAACGGAAACCAAACCCGTCTTGAGTTGAGAAAGAAGAATTAAAAACAAATGAAAGATCCCCTTCTTTCACATTCATAACCCAATAGATTATGAAAACTTAAGTGGTCATGGAATAAAGGAATTAGAAACTTAGCATAATATCTAGAACATGACAATATCGTTAGAGTAATTTATGTAAAAAAAATCAAATCTCTCATGTTAATATTGAACATAAAACTTCTCATTGGATCAATATCAACCACAACAAAATGAAATGTATGCATAAAGACATAGAAACCTACACTTCAGTGTCGACACGACAAATCGGTGCAAGAGTGTCAAGGAGAATTAGCGGCAAAGTGGTTTGCAAGGGTTCGAAGGTGGTGTGCAGAGAATCGAAAAGTATTGTAATCAAATGTCTCACATAGATTACCCATAGTATATAATTATTTATCCCAACATAGGCTACCAAGTCTAACTTATATGTAGAATTGGAAATGACTTACCTCTTACACACTGATAGAAAACCTCATAGTAGAAACTTGGTACTGGTTATGCTTTAATGACCAAGTTCTTTCTCAACTTATTAATGGATGCATCTTCCTCTTCATATACAAATTATAGTGACACAAACAATTTAGTTATTTAATATCTTAACATGTAAAAGGTCTTGGAACTAGATAAATGACATGTATCGTTCTGCGAAACTTAGATGAACAATTCGAAATTCAAGTCACCAGAAATTTGTACAACATTAGCAACAAAAAGAGAGAAGTTTTATGCCTAAAATCACAATGTTAAGCATATTTTTATCATATATCATATAGTTTTTGATGAAAATATAAAAGTTTCATTGTACACATTACGAGATTGATGAATGATACTTAACCTTACACAATTTACTTTATAATGTTTTAAGGAAAATTGTCCTTACCATGATCAGTTTTATTTTGTTCTTAGAAAGACTGGCCAATCTAAGTGTTGCAAATGTGTTAGCTCCAAACCATACATGAACACATAGAAAAATTATAAAGAAGGAAAGTTAAAATAGAAAACTTCTATTTGCAATTTGCAAACAGTTTGGTGCCAATTATTTAATAATTCATGCTTTAAGTTTTTACATGAATTACTTGTTTCAAAAAGATTACAAAATTTATATTTCAAGATTAACATGAGTTCTTTCAAGCAAAATGTCCTACATGTTAACTCCATCTACTTACTTGAGCTTCATCTTATGACTGCTTCTTCGATTGAGCTCTTTTCTGCTCCTCAGCTTTCATAAGCATTCATATTTTCTCATATGCTCATCAATTTCAGGGGGGATCAGGCTCAAACATGTGTTGTAAATATATAATTTAATTAGAAACAAAAAAACATGCAAGGAAAAGAAGTATGTATATACAACAAAATCACAGTCATAACAAAATCTATATTAATTTAGACCAAACATTACTGCAATGAAATTTAGAATTCTAAAAATGTAAAAGAATACTCATGTCATATGCTCAATTAGCTAGAGTGTAGAGGCTACTTACAAAAACACATTCAAATAAATGATCAAAGAAATCAAATGATTGAAAGCATAAGCAAGTTTACCTCATCATGTTATCCAAATAAAACAGACGTGTTGAATTTTGGGTTAGTAGACAACCCTTCTTCTTTCTTGGCACTGAAACATCGGATGAAGAAATTCGATGTCGTCACAGAGACGGTGGGCGGAGAAGAACCATCGATTTGCTGAGAGATAGGTTTGATGTGAATCAATTTCAAGATATATTAGATGAATTAATTCACGGGATATTAGAGATATAATTTAGGGTTTTAAGATTTGAGGAATCGAAGGGTTCTGATTCGTATTTACATTTTGAGGAGAGAGGGAAAACGCATAAAAAATGCACAAGATAAACATAGGGTTTTTCAAATTTTGGGGGTAAAATTAAAAAGAAGCCCTATAGTTAAAAATGAACAAAGGGTTCTTTTAGATTTGATGAAATTGAATGAGAGTGGCCGAGCTAACCGTCGTGAAGATGAAGCGGAGGGAGATCTACAATTGTCGCAAAGATGAAGCGGAGGGAGATCTACAACCGTCGCAAAGATGAAGCGGAGGGAGATCTACAACCGTCGCAGCCATGTGCTGGTCCGTTCCACCATATAGACCATATATTGAGTGACTATATTGTATTTAAAACATTGTGGTTGTTAAGTAAAACTGTCGCAAGTCCCGTCGTTAACTTTAATTAAGGGCAGTTTTTGAGTACCTGTCTTAAATCATGTGTCGCAAAATTGAATTTTCCTTTTAGTGAAATTTCGATACATTAAATTCATGTGGTTTTAAAACTTTAATTCTTGATTTAAGATCTATATTGAAGTTACATGTTCACGAGAAAGTACCGGATAACCTTCTCATGTTAATATTCAAGATTAATGCACTAAAACTTTGATTTTCAAATCGATTCACGATGAATTTCAAATTGCAATTAATGCTGTCCGGAACTTGTATTTTACATGTGCATTGAGTTTTGGCTTGTGAATAATGCATTACTGTACTTATTTGAGCATTTCTTCGATATCGGTAGCAAGTGTGAATGTCTCTAAAATGATTTTTGCACCTATTTTCATGGGTATGAGGTTGTTCTCTGGAATGCTATGTTATGCTCCTTTGACTTGTTTGATTTGTCTTATACATATTCCTGCTTCATTTTTGTGCGTATTACTAATTATTATTATCGCATTTTGTTTTTTGTTGTTATCTACTAATAAATTTTGTGAATGTACATATCTTAAGAAGCAATTTGGATACCATTCACTTTGGTGACGGATACATTTTGCTCGCATATATTATTCACGCTTCTGACGTTATTTGTTGTTGATGCTATCTTACGGCACCCTCCGAGCTTTCGCCATGCATTGAGTTTCTTTTTGCGGATTCTTATTATCTGTTTGGTATGGTTTTGGGTCATTTGGTGTAATATTACATTTACCGCTTTATAGAGATCATGTATAGTAGGGGCATTTATCGCTTTCTGGAGATCATGAGAAGTAGGAAGCAGGAAATAAAGAGCGTGCGCTCAAAGTATTTGTTTAAAGTTCTGTAGCAGGAACCGCTTTCTGTATGC